ATGCCACAGTCTCAGAGGAAACCGCTGAGTCCAAAGCCACTGACTTATCCTGCCTGGGTCACATGTCTCCTGGTGAAGCCCTGGGCAGGTCGATGAGCCTCGCTACACTTCTGTTTTCTGATTTGGAAAATGAGTTTCCACGGACTGACATGTCCCTGGTGTCTTTGGATGCCAACATTCCATGATTAGAAATGGCCCAGAGATCCATTTTCTTTTGCCCGGACGTGGCCATTTTTAAGCCGTCTGACAGTGTCCTGTGACTAATAGGACAGTTCCACAGGCCACAGTATGGGTTAGGTGAGAGGTATGTCTCGTTTGCTGGTGGTATTTGTCAGTTGTGAGGAAACAAGTGATGGAACTTCTGAGTTTCAGCGGTTAAAGTGAACTGGGGGTAGATGTCAGGGCTATGTAGGGGGCACGGTTCCAGGTTGTATTGTGGCTAGACCACCACGTGTTTGCTGGCAGAGAGAGACCCTGGGATACGGAAGGCTGGGTCAACTGAAGCATTCACTTTAAGAATATTTGTATTTCAGTTAAGGGAGTTCCAAGTCCATGTCTGTATCTTTAGCAGAAGGAGTTGAATTGGGTAAATTTATTCTGGATGAGAGGAATGGATAAAAGGACGGTATCTCCACGTGCCCGACCCGAGAGCACATTCCTGGACAGTAACTGTCCCCGCCCCAAACCCATCCCTAAGAAATGGAGAATTTCTAAAACGGAAAAGAACATGTCAGCTGTAGTAGCTGCTTCAGAACTCCCCTCTCCCGGGAAGGAAGGGAGGCTTTTTCAGGAAAAGGAGACTTACATTCCTCAAATGGGCTAAAGAGATGGCATGACACTGTGAGGGACAGAAGCGGGTGGCCAGGGGTCTGAGTAATAAACAGTCCCAGAATTCCTATACACTCATGCCACTCATATCTGTTTTTTCAATAGTTTAATTCCTTTATTATAAATTCAGCTTCTAGATGATAACATTAGATTTTCAAAATTGCAATTTAAAGAGTTTCTCTGTATAGTCAATATAGAATTCTGAGATGGATGAAAACCATGTATCAGCTCTAATGCTGATACATTGATGTGTAGGCTGGAAAGCAGCAGATACTCATAAACCAGTTACATTCCCAGAGGCCTCTGGTGCTCTAGTGGGCGTGTTGTAACAGCGCCACCGTAGTTACTTCTAAGGTTCCTTTTCTTCTGCTTTTAATGTCCCTGAAATTGCGATGCTTACAGTGAATGTGATAAGAAGGGTTTTTGTCGTAGTTTAATTGGCAGCATTTACCTCTTAATGGTGGTGCCTTTAAAATTCAACAGCATCTTAGGTTCCATAAAAAAAAAAAGCTTTAAAATGAAACTGGAATAGACAGAATGGAAGACGTAAAATCATTCCCTCTCCCCTCAGCTAACACTAAACTCCCCAGGAAAAGATCTTTGAATTGCTTTGAAAAGTCATATAGTTGCGTAAGTTGCATAATTGCTGTTTTGTAGTCTCTTTGTTCTTTTTGTTGCCCCCCGCCCAATATCTTTTTTATAGGGCAGATTGAAGGGAGCATTCATGGGTTAGGTGTTCTCCTTGAAGCACAGACTTGGGAGAATGAGAGGAGTATTAGAGTCTAAACAAAAAAACCCAACTCACTTCATTGTCCTAACAGACTTGAGAAAGACTTCATATTTCACCTTTATTGATTTAACCTTGTAAGTGGTAAAAGGGGTGTTCCAAGGAGATGCGCATACCCAGCTTGTGGTGGTTTGAGCTGCCGTCTTAGAGGCCCCAAACTTTAGCCTTCTTGTCCTCCCTCCCTCTCCTCCCTTCCAAGTAGATCACTATCTATGAAGAAATTAAAAACTGCTATTTAAATAATTCTTGAACCACAAATACTTTGCCTCAATTTATCTGATGTTTTGTGACGTTACATGTGGCTGCTAATATTTTAGGAGTATGTCATTTGACCTCTATTACCATTACAAATAAACATTGCCCTTTTAACCATGGCTTCAGTAGAAGTCCCAGTTAGCTGCTGGTTTGGGGCGGTTATGGGGTGGGATAGATTCTGGGTCCCTGCATGTCTAGGCTGACATGCACAGAAGCAGTGATCTCTCTTGATGGAGAATGAACTTGGTGTGGTCACTCGGTAGAGATGAGAGATTGAAGTTTGCCCTAGTAAACCTAGGGGGTTTGCAATTTTGTTTGCTTTGCAGGGAGGGAGAGAGGAGGAAGCCAGAGCTGGCCTGGGCCGGACAGCTGGATAGCCAGAGAATGATTCCCTGAAGACCGTGATGTAAAGATGATAATTATCATTTCCTTCTAAACGATCTGTTATATCATTGAAAGCCATTGAACAAACCCAAACCCAAAAATCTTCCCAATAGTCTGCACATTGCTAGGTGCTTGGAGGGTCTAGCTTTCCAGAGCTCAGTCTAGATTGTCTAAATTTTAGTTTGCTTTTAAAAGAAGAGAAGCCCATCTTTTAAAAAGAAACAAAGAAAAAAGAAAAATTGATTGTGGCCTCTGCCACTTCCTGTCTACCTTCTCTCTTTCTCCTAATCTCTCTGTGCCCTGCAGCCTGGGGTGAGGGACATAACTGAGGATTAGTTCCCAGCTGGTTTGAGGTGAACACATTCCTCAGGCTAAATTTGGCACCAAGCTCTTCTCAACCCACTTTTTTTTTTTTTTTTTTAAGAAAGGCTGGACCTGAGCCGCCAGCTGCCACCCGCCTGCTTCAGCCTGTCATTGTCAGGAGCCTGTTGCCCACCCTCATTGCTCTTTGTTTTTCTTTATATCAGACTCTTTGGAAAAACTCAGCTGGATTCTCCTGGCTCTGTTACTCTGTCCCTCCCCATTTCCATTTTACAAATAAACCTTAGAATGATTCTGACTTCTTAGAGATTTCTGACTATGAAGAGATCTGTGGCAACAGAATTAGAATCAATATTGCGTATCTTAGTGGGAAGGTGCTATAGAGCCCTTCAGCTTACCTGCCATCGGGAGGGTTTGTTCTGGCCCAGCCCCAGCACAGTGCAGGAGTTCTCCAGAACATAGGTGGCCTGTGTATGGTGATGATTAATCCTAAAGATTCTCTTCTTTACATCACTAAACAGCAGAAAGGGCTGAGTCCAGATATTTGCCTGCCATCTCTCTTACTCCAGATAAGACAGATAATTCTCCCACAGTCAGAAGATTCTCTGACTCTACCTTCCCGCACCCCTGGCTTTCTAGTCTCCCTGCTGGTTGACTTTTGTGATCCAGTTGATCTGTGGGGACAGAGATGGCATCAAAGGGGAAGAAGGAAGCAGCAAATCCTTCTTCCTAACCACTTCTTTGTTATTAGAGGTGTCCTCCGTTGTGCAGACTCTGTCACAGCACAGCGTCCCTAAGGGGACTCAAATAGCACACCTCAGATACGCCTGCTTTTCTCTGCCTTATGATCAGATGCATTCTCATTCTTTGCTAGCTTCTTGCGGCCCCTCAGTGGGGTCTGCCCTTTTGAAAGGCCCTTTAAAAAGATGATTACCCCACTAAGTTCTCTTCGTGTTTGGTCTTCAACTCCTTAGATGGAAATCATTGAAATTCTCAATAGCATTGATCATTGAGCTGCATGGTCATGCATGTCAGTTACAAAAAAATACCAGTGGGCTTTTGAGATAACATCAGTTTCTTCCCAGCCAGAGTTCACCCACGCCAGCTCCATCCAGTTTCCCTCTCAGTGTGCTTGTCTGCAGTTTTTCTCTGTGTAGTGAGGGCTGTGAGTTACTGTCAGCCTGCCACCATCATGGAGGAGAATCTGTTAGCCAGCAGCAGGAGAAAACTGCTGTTTGGCTGGGCTGAGCATATTCCTCCGTCAGTATTAATTCATTCTGGACCAATTGCCAGATACCCAATCAATTGTAGCAATTTTAAGACAGGTCAGTTAAAACCAAAGCTTCTAGAATGTTCCATTAAAATTAAATGGAAGAAATCATTCCAAAATCAGGTTAATGAGAATTTCTGTCTCAAAATTTCAGACAAATTTAAGTCTGAAGCACTGGGCCAGAGCAGTAGATGCAGTGACCTTTAAAGCCCCTTCCAACCCTGAGATTTGGGGATTAAAATGGCGATGCGAACTGCTAAGGTGTTGTTGGATTTCTAGGCTGGAACAGGAGAGGTACTAGTGGGCGGCCAAACCTGTCTGCATCCAGTAGGAGGCAACTAAGAAGACCTCACAAGATCTGTTACACACACACACATGCACACGTGTGTGCACGTGCTAAGTTTCTAAAGTAGAGTGTACTCAGGTTTCACCTCTTAGAATATCCTTTCATAAGCAGCTATAAGTTTTGAACCAAGGGATTTTTGGTTGGTTGGTTGTTTTTTTGAATATGTAATACAATCTGTCGTTCAATTTTTTTTTAAAAATGCATGTGCGTGAGTGTGTGTTTGTGTGTAAGAGAGAAAGAGGTTTCCGTCCCACTCTTTCTCCATCTGCCCAGCTTCCAGTGTCCCTTCCCCTGCCACCACACCGCCCCAGGTAACAGCGTTTTCTTAGGTATGACTTCCTTGAGGCAGATATGAGCCTTATTTCCTCACTCACACAGGAGGCAGCATATCAAGTCCACACACTGTTCTGCACCTCAACGTTTTCAGTCTCTCTTGGTGATCTTTCTGTATTAGTAGAGAGTTTCTTTTCCTTTCATTTTTTTTAAGCTGCACAGTATCCCTTTAATATTTAGTCCCCTATTAATTTTTAGTCCCCTGTTCACACGCGTTTGGGTTGTTTCTGACCTCTTGTAATTGCAACCAGTTGAGTCCAAGTGGCTGAAGGGACTCGGGAGGCAGGTTGCTGTGTTGGCATTAGATGAGCAAGGAAGGAAGGTCCTGGGGTGTCAGGAGGGCCCGAGAGCTGCCGAGGCCAGGTTTCCCGTGTGTGTGTGTGTGTGTGTGTGTGTGTGTGTGTGTGTGTGTGTGTGTTGCCTAGAGATGACCTGTGTATTGAATGCTCTCTTTTCTCCCATTTTTTTTCTTTCAGGGACAATTCAAGCTTTCGAAATACAAAAATCACATTGTGAAAGTACACAAGCTGGCAATAATCCTTTTCTGTATGTGTGTGTTTGTCCGAAACGGATGGGAGGTCTCCGGCTGGCCCTTCCATCTGCTCACTGAGGGGACGTCCCTGAGCCTCGTGCTCCCCTTTTGCACTCATTCCTGGAGGACGGATTCCGCTAGACACCCTCCAGCATCGCTGACTTTATAAAGCGGAAAAAATGGAAAACGTGACTTTGTAATAGACAAACTTTTTTTTTTAATGGGGTTCTGTTGGGGGAGTTCAGCCTTTCCTTTTTCTGTGTGCTGTCCAGATGCCTCCCGGGCACCCTGTCGTGCTCTCCTCTGCTGTACAAAGGGCGTCGTGACCACGTGTACAAGCCAGAGCTGTCAACTGAGCGTGATCAGTATTATGAATGTCTGTGCATCCAGGAAAAGCTTTTTGTTGGAGAGTCCCGGAATAGCTATAAATGCTGTCTTCTAGATCTGCCATTAAATTATTGGGACGTTTTGTTTATTTCACGCCCCTCTTCCCCCAAGCCCACCACTTTTGGAAAAAGTGTTACTGATTTTGTATTGTCTCCTGCCTTATGCCCTCCAGCCTTCCCTCCTGTGGGACTCTTTCCTTTTAGGCACTGCTGCACTTAGAAGTTTAATCCAGTGGGCTACACTGGTTTCACTGAGGCGACTTAGAAGGTATGACTTCATAAATTAAACCAGAGCAGAATCCAGTTTAATGAGGAGCTAGGTTATAGTAGAGCTTCCAAGTACAGGATTAGGAGCTGAGGGCAGTTTCTGAAACCGTTTTCCCGCATATGAGCAGGGCCTGTGTGTCCAGCCTCTTTCTGTGGGTTCTTGCATGCCTCTGATTGAGGAAGGGAAGCAAAAGCTGGTTGTTGCCAGGTGTTAACACAATATGGTGAATTCTATGATCTGGAAACTGGGACACCTGAAGAAAAGTTGACCATGATGGATGGCTTTCTTTGCACGGCTATACCTGTCTGCAGTGGTTGGAGAAACCTACTTTCAGTCCTCATCACCTGGTGTACGTGTTAGCAGATGCGTGCTGATCCAGGATGCCCGGACAGAATCTGAAAATGACCAGGCACACATCAGAGAAGCTGGGTGATCTGACTCCAGAAGGACTGAAATCAGAGAGGTCAGAGAGCACCTAGGGTTGAAATAAGTACCGAGGACCAGTCCTACGGCAGCCTCCAAGGAGCACTGGCTTACTTGGCTCTTGTGAGCAGAGATCGCAGTACCTTAAATTAAGGCCTCTCCTAAAACCTATCCTTGCAGGCCAGGGGGCCTTAGCCACCTGGTCTCAGAGAAATCATATGAGAGTAACAGGCATTTCCTTATTGTATTTATATTACTGTCTTCCTACTTTCCAACTCCTGAACACCCTGGAATTACCACTGTCTTGGGATGTTTTTTCCTGAAAGAACAGGGGAGTGTAGAGCCAAAAGGGAGGTGCTTCCATTACAGGTGAAGTTAGATAAGATCTAGCAGTGACTTAAACTCCAGGAATATGAAGAATAAATTCTAGTGCCCGGACAGTTGTGAAGGGCTCAGACAAATATAGGAGCAACATTGGCTACAATGGGGAGCAAAGGCGGCCTTCTGAGTTTAGACCCAGAGAGGTCTTCACTTTTGCCTAAACTCAGATTTGCCATGAAAATTCCAAAGAGAGCAGATGTTTGGATTTGCCCTCCTTTGGGCCTCTGCCTGACTAGTGAGCGAGTGTGGGTGCATATGTGTGTAACGTGCTCGTGAGTGAGGGTTTCGTCAGGCCGAGTGCTATGGTGTATTGTCCATATTTGTGTTTACTTTTTTTTTTTTTTGATCTCATTTGTTCAGATGTTTTAATCTCTTGTGTTTCCTAGAGCTGCACATGCCTCCCCCACCAACCTTTTCTTTGCAGTATTCAAAAGTTATTTTTTTCCCATCAAACACATACTGGCTAGAACAAGAGTTATTTCTGCTAGGCAGCATCTTACCCCTAGAGCTCTCCAGATCTGCCTAACAGCTTTAAATCGGGGATTGAAGAGTCAGTTTTTCCAAACCACCTGTTTTCCACGTTAGCTTGCGAGGTCTTTTCAATTCTTTTTGACTCCATGCGCCTCTGCTACACTGAGATAGGACACGGTTACGGTATCACCAGTTGTAAAGACGAAGGGGAAAAGGTGCACCAGAGCCAACCTAGCACACGTTATCAGGTTGCTGCTGGGAGGTGGGGTGTCACTGTCCCCTTTGCACAGGCAGGCTGTTTCCAGGACCCCTCAGAAACTGGTCCCCACTCCTCTCCAGGGCTCTTCTCATCTTATCCCTCTATTCACATGTGTGTGTGTTTCCCTGTGATGTTGGCAGTGACAATAATTTCCCACCCAGAGAGAAGCTTGTGGTCCACGATACTCCAAGAATGAATTTCCAGGTATTAGCCATGGAGGCGCAGAAGCTGTGACAGGAGTGAGTCAGTGCTGCACTTTCAGAGCAGTTGTGTACTGCGGTAATAAATGGAGAACATCAAGAACCTGGTTGTGGACTCTTGAATGCAATGGAAATGGGGACACGGGTAGTTTGTTACTACTGCTTCTGCCCTTTGGTGCGTGGGTCTTCATTTTAAACGCGTTCCAGAACAAAATAATGTGGGATAGTCCGGACGCTGCAGTATCATTGACATAAGTGTATCATAAAACTGTCCTCTAATTGACATTAATCGTTGCCATAGCAATTTACATTTTTAATATCAAAATAGTTGTTAATTCTAATTCTTCTAAATTTGGGATGAGGAATATTGGAGTGGAAGGGGGTTCAAAGGAAGGTTTAGATTTGGAAGTAACAAATCACCCCAGGCCTTAGCTTGGAATGTTTTATTTAGCCCAAAAATGGACATGTGGGGCATTCCAATGACCAGTGCCCATGTGAAACACCACGGGAGAATGAAACTTAATGCAGAGCCTCAGTGACTGTTGATGGAAGATTTAAAACTGTAGTTTTGAGACTTCGTTTCAATATATAGAAATTTCCTTTCCGTGTATATCAGTCACAGTCCAAGTGGAGACAGAAACCATGCAAGTTATTTTAACAATATGGTAGAATTGTTGACTCAGTCGTTAAAAAGGCCTAAAGGAGACACTAAAAAACCAAGGCAGTAGCGACTCCAGGAGGAGGTGCCTCTGAGGATGGAAGCTGCTCACCTGGTGCTGGTGTCTGAGGGCGGAAGGAAGCTGGTCTGAGCTTGTTGGGAGCGGCAGCTGGATTCAGCTGTGGGAACACGCTGCTGTTGCAGAGCTCCACTAGGCCGGAGCTCGTCCCTTTTCCTTCCTCCAGTGCTGAAGTGCACCCTGTTGGGGGAATCCAATGGTCTGCCAGCTGGCAAAGTAGAATTGTGTCCAGTTCTATGCCCAGTATCACAAAAACAGTTAAAAACAGTGAGTGTGAAACTGAGAGGTAAGGGCTTAATCATTGGTACAGTCCTCCCCTTTAGCCACTCAGCATCCATACATACCCTTCTACACATATTTGGACTTTAGTAGTATTACAAAAGCAACTCGGTTTCTGCCCAACTTACAACTAACTAATTGTAAGACGGTCTTAGCTGCTCCCCAAACAGGAAACGCAATGCTCAGCAGTGAGCGTGGGTCTCTGGGCTACGCCGATTCCTCCAGTTCAGTCACAAGCTCATCTGAATAGAACCTAGAACAATGAAACTAAAGGGGAAAAACTTCCCCAAAACTCGCATGAAATAACGAGGAAAGAGGAAAATTATGTGTGTGTTTACACATGGCAAGCCAGGCTATGTAGAGTCTGTAACTATCGTGAGGCTGGAGCCAATACTTATTTACAACTTCCTTTTCCACTGCGGAGTCTGTTTCCTTCGCTCTCAGCGAGGATCTCAGCTGGTCAGGATTCTTGATTTGGTATGGTTGATCCAAACCTTTATTCCTGAAAGATCTGAGTTAATCATCCAGCCTTTATTTACTACAGTTTTCCATTCATTCTTGCTATTTCTAAAAGAGGCCCTAGAGGCCTCTCTGGCTTCCGGCCAGTCCTCCCTACCCCTCCTGTGTAGTAGCGCCCAGGTTTCCCCTTGAGGACGCTCTCCAGGCAGTAGAATAATCCCCTTATTCGCTTGTTGGTTCAGTGTCCTGAACAGCCCAAAATAGCCAGGTGAGCGGCAACCTGCAGTCCAATGGAGCCAGTTCTGTGTCCCCTGGTAGGCTCAGACCTCCTTGTTGAGGGGACTGGTGAGAGGAACCCCTCCCACCTCTATTCCTTGATTCCTGGGCACATGGATTCTGGCTATGGGAGAGACTCGTGCAAGCATATACTGCAACCTCTAAGACACCTCTGTCCTTTCAGGACAGATGGCGCCGTAACTGAGTCTTCAACGGGCCGTTCCAAATCTGTTTACCCAGCTGCTTCTGCCACTGGGTAGTGAAGGATGTAAAGGTGGTGAAGGAGGTAAAACCTGTGGATCATAGGGTCACAAGTCCACTGCCTCACTTCATTTGCTGTGAAATGAGTTTCTCGATTAAAAGTAACATGTGGAATACCATGCTGGTGAATAAGGCATTCCATTAGTCCACAGATGGTCACGATGGGAAAAGCATTATGGGCAAGGAATGCAAATCCACAACCCGAGTATGCATCGACTTTCATGGTTTGCCAAAGGGCAATGGAACGAATCCAGCCCTATTTCTTTTCTTTGAGCTTTGGCCACCTGGATTTCCCAAATTTTGGTATTTCTCATCTCATATCTCCGCACATGGGGTCCACTTTCCCTTGGCTACAGTCCTGTTTGGTGTTAAGTGTCACATCCCCCCGAGCTTAGTTCCATGTGACCGTTACACTGAGCTCACCTCCAAGATCATTTTGACTCAAGCTCAAATATCTTGGACACATAACCCATCTCCGTTCCAACAATTCATAGAAGTACAGCTAGCTGCTGTGTCAGCTCCAAGAGAACAGAGCCCACAGGAGGCTTCTGCTGTCCTCAGAATATTCATCCAACAAACACTCACCTCCTGGGGTGGGGGTGGGGGGCAGTGGTTGGGCAGTGTTGCGGCTATGGTGACAGATGAATAGGCAGTCTGGGGCTGTACCCTTGAGGAGCTCAGGCTGGAGGGGAGAAGCTCCAGAACACAGCGAGTGAGGTGTGCAGAGTGTGGTGGGAGAACTGAATGGAGCTCTAGCGTCCTGTGGGGCCAGGGAGGAAGGAAGGCCTCCGGGAGGATCTGCGGTTCAAGTGTAGTCAGTGTGAGCCCAGTCCAGTGGGGTTGGTAACCTTCATGCACCCAGACTTTGAAAATGCAGACGTGAGACGACCGGTGGGCTTTATGCTGGAGGTGTTCCCTCTGGGTGAGATTGGTATCACATGTAGAAAATTGTACCAGTTATTAAACGCTCTCAGTGCCAGGCGCTGTGATAGCTTTATGTGTATAGTTAACTTAGTCTCACAGCAGCCTTCTGGGTAGGTTATTATGGTCCCCATTTTACAGATGAAGAAACAGGCAGAAAGACAGTAAGCAACTTGCAGAAAGTCACGCATGTCATGCAAGGGCAGAGATGGGGTTTGACCTTGAGTCAGTTGAGTCCCGAGCTCCTAAACCTTCTAGGGCAGGGGAGGGAGGGCTCGCCCAGTCTGCAGTTACTTGGATGGATAAGAATGATGGTCTCCAGAGCGCACCCGGGCCCTTTGGCTTTAAAATGACCCCTGCTGCTGCAGGGTGGTCCCAAGGGGTGAGAGGCCCCACCCAGCTGGTCAAAGAGGCTCAAGAATAAGTGTGCAGGGTAGTTTCCCCTGCGGTCCCTGTGAGGGGCAGGAGGGCACAGTGGTTTACTTGTCAGGTGACATTTTATATCCTTTCCTCATCCTGCACCATCCTTCTGACATCAAGAAAGCCTGAGTGGGGCTTCCCTGGCGGTCCAGTGGTTAAGACTCCACATTTCCAATGCAGGGGGCACGGGTTGGATCCCTGCTTGGGAAACTAAGATCCCACATGCCATAGGGTGCGGCCAAGAAAAATTAAAGCCCGAGTGCTGGCCTCGCACCAGACCACACCATGTAGGTCCTCAGCATCTCCATTCCCTGTTTCCACAGTCATGAATATTCCTGCAAAGTCACTCTGCCCAAATCATTCTCTCCATGTTAGTCCGCCAGGCCCATTGTCTCATCAGAGCCCCTCCACTAGTTGCCTGGGAAGCAATACTCCCACCCTGAGAGCAAACACCCAATGTTCTACCTAATCCGCCCCCACCCTTCTGCCCCATAAACACAGACAGTGAGGTTTTGTGTCCTGGGACTTGATCTCCACCCTGACCGCCATCTGTGTGGCTGGGGGCTCAGGACACCCCTCACCTGCCACGCACTCAATCAGGAAGGTGAAAGCACAGAGAAACGTGGATTGAACTTGGGCTCTTCTCACGAGTCCAAGAAGGCGGGTGGGTCAATCAGATGTCCCTTGGCCAGTCCATCTTCCCCTGTCACTGACAAGAGGAATGTTAAGCTTGGTGGCGGCCCAAGAGCCGGAGGCCCATCTCCACCTTGGCCTCATTCTGCACTCCCTGGGCCCCGCTCACTTCCCGCACAGGACAGTTCCTGGAAGGTGGTGAGAGTCCTACAAAGGCTGAGCACATCTGTGGCTGGGCTAGCCTGGCACCACCGAGCACGGGGCTCCTGGGGGTTCTTTCTCAGGTCTGTTCTCCCTGCTCTCGGGCTCACAGTGCCCCCTCTGGCCACCCGGGCTGCAGTGCCGGCCTGCTCATCCATCGCCAGGCTCCCCGCTCACTAATCCCGCCTCCTATTTGCGTGTGCCCATTCCCCACCCTGCACACGCCC